ATATATATATATATATATATATATATATTATATATATATATGTGTGTATATGTATATTATATGTATATGTATATGTATATATATGTGTATATATATGTATATATATATATGTCTATGTATGTATGTGTGTATATGTATATATATAATGTATATATGTATACATATATGTGTATATATATTACATATATGTATATATATAGCGCTAATTTTGATTTCTATTATGGTATTATTGGCAGTGAGCTGGCCGTGGACGAGTGATAGGTTTCATGACATAAACGTTAGATGGCTTGAGCGGAATTCAAAGAAGTTCGGCCTGTAACCTATTTTGTGAGTGAGTGCACGCATAGAGACATACCGGTAAGCATTATATATATGGTTTATTGTCACATAACATTCCGAAACTCAGTTCCTCGTTAAAGTAACATATAAAAAATACATAGTAAATACAGCTAAAAAAAGAGTGACGTCATATGAAAATACAATATAATAATAATAATAATAATAATAATAATAATAATAATAACAATAATAATAATAATAATAATATGTGCACATTACAATAAAAAAGATTAAAATTTGAATGTTGATGATTAATTTATTTTTCATTGTAATTTATGTCAATTTAAACAAGATTAAAATTATTTATCCGTAAATAAATTTTTATTGCGATTATTGTTATGACTGAAGCATAAAATATAAAATTGAATTTAAGAAAGTATCAAATAGCAATTAAAAAAGCAACATTTTGTAATTGAAAAACATATACGAATTTGCTGTAATCGGATTTGAAATCCCAAAAGCCACCTTGCGTCTGTGTGTGCCTCCCTAAGATATGCCCTCAGCATAAGCATTAAACAACAAGACACAAAAGGATGGTCAGGGACAGCTAAAGCAAATAAATTACTGTAACTCAAAAGAGTCAGCTGCCCTTAAACATGAAGTAACGAGAATATTGCACACAATAGAAAAAGTTATAAAATATATAAAAAGCCCTAAACAATTTAAATAATTAAATTAATTAGTCTATTGCATATTAAGAAAGTTTCTTTAAGACTTCAACAATAATTTAAGATTATTTAATAAATGAATTGACTGAATTATTACGGATAATTACCGTACAAACGATTGCGAAATAATTATTAATTTAATAATTGCAAGGAAAAAAGTTACATGAACATTGCACACAATAGAAAAGGATATAAAAAAAATATCAGGAATTAATTATTGATTTATATTTCATATAGGTTTTATTTAAAATCACAACAATATATTAAGATTAATTTAATAATTTATAATTACATTGCATATTAATCTCTTTAAATATAATACAAATAATAACATTTTAAAATGAATTGATTGAGTTTAAATACAAAGTGCATTAAAATTTGTATTATTTAATAATAAAATAGAGACAAAATTTTTGAAAACAATTAAGCACAAATTACTAGTATTGGTCCCTATTGATAAGAAATTTACGAACTTTAGACAGAAAACAAGGAAGTGAGACAATGACAACTGAATTTTGAACATTATTAGAAATGGAGGAACAAGCACGGGGAAACAAGTTAACATTGGAATTTCGAAACGCAATAGTACGGGCATATAGGTGTGTAAATAAAAGGGAATCAAGATTTTTACAAATTATTAAAACATTGTTAACAACACAAGAGCAATCAGTTAAACCATATAAACATTTAAAAATAAACGAAGTCCGAACACATTCACGCCGCGGGAATGAAGTGTTCAAACTGAGGGAATTAAGTCAGTCAGTGTATGGCATTTCTCCCCTTTTAACTCCAAGTATTCGCCTCGTGGCATTATTAACGCCTTTCACTCACGGTTGCTACAGTAATCACGGACCACGCCTGTGCACTCCCCCACAAAAAGCTCATTCGCTCATTAGCACTTCCCTGCCCCCCCCCCCCCCCCCCCACCCCCATTGAAAATGTTGGGAGCAAAAACATAATGCTCAACTTAAAACAAAATCACCTCATTTCACCTTACTTTTACAAGCTAGCACCCCCTTCACGCCTCCCCATCAGTCCCTCATTTCACTCCTGGATACGCCACGCGGACCACGCTCGTCATACGTGGAAGTGGTTTGTCGCAGCGGGAACAGTTTGGTGGGTAGCTGGTATGGTTAAATGCTAACATGCGCTGATTTAGCCGCTGCAACGTTATGGAATAGGCCTACTCCCCCAGGGAGCTTGAGTTTGTGTTCTATAGGCGTTTAATCCAATGACTATAATTATAATGTGGTAATGATAATATGAAGTGCATGGGGCGCTTCACATTATGCATGCGCTATAAAAGTGTACCATTATTATCATTATTATTCCCATTCAGCACAGTGAACGTTGCGAGATGAGTTATTGTAATCTTTTCCTTAGGCTATGTAACCAATACATACGCTGCTAGTAGCCTTGGTACGAGGCCTTAAATTTGTGTTACTCAGTGAAATCAGTGAAATATAATTCTTTTATTTAAACTCATCGTACACCATACTAAAGTTGCTGTCACCTTTGACATTATTGCAAGTATCTATCTGGGAGTAATATCCAATTATTTTTATCCATGTCTCTCTCCACATAATTAAATGCATTATTTAAGCCCCTTTTTCATTTCCCCCAGCCCGCTTGTACATGATGTGCCCCGGCAGCAATACTGAATATTGTATCTTGGCCCTATACTACCATGACCAGACCATCAAACCTTTTGTCTCTTTTCACATGATTAAGTCTTCTGGGCTCCCGGTCTAATATTTTTTTTTTTAAAGTTAGCTCACTCGTTGGTGGCGTTGTCCAGCATGAGAAAAAAAAAATTAGGCACTTTAGGCAAGTGGGTTTTCTCCTCTAATCCGTGTTCATAATTGTACTATACTTTAAGCTACAACTTTTCAGCGTTCTTTACGGGCTTTGCACAGTTACACCATGGGCCTATTATTAGGCCCATGGTTCCACTATTATAGGCCTAACTATTAAATTAACTTGGAAATATATAAAATGAAATAAGGCTTAATGTATATATTTTGCTACAAGGAGGAGGATACAGTAACTCTTAAATCATTTTGAATTGTTTGAAGTGCCATTTCTTATGATTCAGTCTCTGATTACAGTAACGTTTCAATAAAATTCATCCCACGAAAACATAATATTTACCGCTTCATATGTTTATTCTGATTTGCGGTGAAAATGTGTTATGCGACGAGAACGCCCTCGTATAAGCATAACTTTGAAAAAAAAATAGTGAAACAAACTGAAAAAAGGTTGATTTCTCAAACCAAATAGGAAAATGTCTTTAAAGTTACGCCAATAACAAATGAGTTTGTGCAAAATCAAGTAAAGCCACCAAAACTGGCCTCTAGAAGGATTTCATTTAGACAATATTTCATTTGTATATTATTTTAAAACTATAGTTTAATTTAATGTGAACCTTCGAGCTATTCTGAAAGTTCAGCTGATATTCAGGGCCCCTCCTAAATAAAGGACATTAAAGTACAGAAGTTCATATTATGTCATTTATTTAAGAGGGGCCCTGAATATCAGCTGAACTTTCGGAATAAGTTCATACCGGTAATTTTCTCGTCTCCTCAACATAGAAGTATAACTTTCGCTCACGGGTTTTCTTCGCAAACTCGTGTGATGGTGAGTTTCCTAGCTATCATGTCTTTGGAGCAAGCGGTAGTGCGGAAAACCCGTTCACATAAACGGCGGTTATTCAACATTATTTCTACTCTCCTGTTACACTTCACTATTTGGAGTCATGAGGTCGGTATTCCTCCCCCACCAGAATTAGAGCCAAGTCTCGTTACGAGGCAGGTACCTATTACGACGCATCTATCTATCTATCTATCTATCTATCTATCTATCTATCTATCTATCTATCTATCTATCTATCTATCTATCTATCTATCTATCTATCTATCTATCTATCTATCTATCTATCTATCTATCTATCTATCTATCTATCTATCTATCTATCTATCTATCTATCTATCTATCTATCTATCTATCTATCTATCTATCTATCTATCTATCTATCTATCTATCTATCTATCTATCTATCTATCTATCTATCTATCTATCTATAAAATCAAATAAATAGGCCTTTAAAACCCCTAAAAATTGTCATATTTTCCCGGGGCCTCGCGCCCAGGACCACTCTCGGAACATTTTGAGCGACGCCCGACCACGCCCATATTGCTCTCGTCGGGGGCATCGGCCTCCTCTTCTTGGGGCCACCCCTGACAATAAATCGTCGTAAACAGTTCATTTTCGACATATTTACTGACAACAAATTCAAACAAAATCAATGATCATTGTGGAATTCTAGAAATACAATAAGACATTTATGATTCTTGTTTATCATCGATAATTTGGCGACATTCACTCAGTTGACATACGACACTGACCTTTGAAGTCGGTCAATAACGAGAACGTAATTGCATCGGATTTGAAACCAGACGATCTGGACACTGCTTGATGGTAGTTACACGTGAAGGAATTCGTACCCAAGAATACCTGCCAGTGGGTAGGCCTGTGTGAAGGCGTAGCATTTGTCCGCATAACATTAGTCGGGACACAACAGCATTGTAACGTAGACGTATTCGATGTATTCTACACTTTTGTCAAGGACGATTTCCAACAACCCTCTATAGAGAAGTAGAACGCTATTCAATTGATCACGTGCCAAAATTCGATTCATCTGTTTTGATTTTCGTAGACAGGACTTGTTTGTTCTGAAGCTCGATTCCAATTTTTTTAAAACAGCTTAAAATACAAACAAACAAACAAAACAAAATACGGAAGGTGTATATATTCTTGATCCGCCGTGTCTGATTGGGGACCAATTGCATGTAAGAGTTCAAGCCGCCTTTGTAGTGCATTCCATCGAGTGTAATTATTTCTCTGCGAGAGGTTTTTCAGTCCCACCACCAAGAACAGACACGTGGTGTTTGCTCCTTGCAACATTTGTCATACAACAAACAACACGATGCAAGTTACAGCAGCACTTTTCGGATATAGTGTATGTCTAGTGGCGCTGATCCAGATCGGGAATTGTCGGTCCCATCATCACCATAATCATAAGCATATTAGAAACGTGTGTAACGTAAGTATGTATAAGGCATTACAGATTTACTAATCTGTATGTGAGCAGCTTTTTGTATAAGGACTTTATAGACTGCAGCCCTAAATCGTGTAAAATTATTTTTACGAATAATAATGAATTATAGTATAGTCAATTGATGGATAATAACTGATCAGGTGTGTTTCACACCTGTATACAGATTCAGTTCTTCCGTCATTCGTAGCTATACTGTAACGAGCGTTAGAAATTTACTTGTCAGCGAAGGTTCGTGGCGAATCGAGGAAATTCCAGCCACACTATGTTGAGTAGGTACAGATCATTTTTGGTTTTTTTTTTTCAAAACATACAAGTTGAATAAGGGCTTACTATAATTAATAATGATAGCTAAAAATTCGACTTCCACATCGGATACATATAGGCCTATAAAAGTAATAATTTGTTTAGCGATCAGTACGTATAATGTAATATCACCGAGCAAATGATAAAAAATAGGGCCTATTTACTTATTTAGGTTTATAAATAATCATTACCAAGGCATAAAATTAGTAGGCCTGACGACTGACGTGTATTAACAATATTATATTTGGCAAGGCGCATTCGCTGATAAACTGAGCTATTCTCTGATTGCTAATGATCTTTGCTGAAACTCTTTTGAGTGTAGCAGTATGCTATTTTACATGCTGTTTGCAGTTTACCCCAAATTAATACCAACAGCTAGAGAGAATCACTTTATTGTTTTTTTGTTTTTTTTTATAGAATTTCTACAACAGTGTCGCTTACCCCTTGGATAATAGACAGGTAATGTCGGGTCAAGTCCAGTTCACAGAAATTAGCAATCGCGGTACGGCGGTATCTGATCTTCCCATTAGTCTTGGGTTACCTGATCGTATACTGATTACCTGACTAGTTGTATTGTTCTGTGAATTTACCAGACAGGGCACCAACGGGGCTGTAGCTAACACATGTGGAGTTTTCGCCATACTATCGGTGTAAACTTTGTTAGAGTATACCATGGAGACAGCATTTATACAATAAATATACAAGAGTGCAGTAAGAATGAAATTATGAAAACGTTTCATGCCAGATAAATGAACTTATATATAGGCATATATATATATATATATATATATATATATATATATATATATATATATATATAGGCCTATATATATATACATATATTTCAATATAATAATATATATATATATATATATATATATATATATATATTTCAATAAGTTTGAAAGGCAAATGGGAAAAACCCATAAAACAGCAAACGGCCATATAATGCAAAACAATTTAAAATTAAAATTATATATATTAAATGTCTATATATGTGTATATATATTTCAAAAAGAAATCTTTATCAAATATGTATATATGTATATGTATATATGTATATGTATATGTATGTATATGTATATAGGCTTATATATATATAATCTTTAAAAAAAAATCAAAAAGTAAGCAAATTAAAACAAAAAAAAAATCTCAATTTTTAACTCACAACTGGAGTACACTTGAAAACAGTGTTTACTACGCACTAATAAATCCATTTAGCATTTTAGCGAATTTCCGAAGATAAAAGCGCTTTCCAGATGGACCAGGGATGAGCCTGTATTTTACTACTGTAATTCATCGGCGAACGGTAACCCGGCTTTTGTCTCTTGAGGTTTTAAAAGTGGCATTGTGTTGTATGCTTTGAAGCCATCTATGCAGGACCATGCGCATTATAAAGTTGATGGAACTAAATTCGTCAAGAGAAAAATTTGTGTAATGTTTAGGCCTACAGGTTGTGAGACTTTATAATCGAATAAATACAGTTAGTCTGTCTTCGGAGACTTCTCCCCGCCCCCAAGAAGGTATAGCCCCTCCCCCCATTCATTTCTAGACGCAGGGTTTTCGGAACGCCGCCCTTAGCGGCGAGTGCGAAGCACAACTCAGGGTCAAAAGTGGAACGTGAAATTTGGATATGGTCAGCTACCCGTATTTCTCGACTGAGACGTCAGTAGGAGCTGTAATTTGTATGGCAAGGAGATTGAGCAACCTTCATTCATATTAAGGGAATTTACGCCCAGAAACCTTTTAGTTATTAATATTTTGGTTATAATAGAAAATATTAATTTTTTGGTGACGTCACACTTACATTATTTAGCATGCATATGTCATAAGCTAGATACGTCACCTTTTTCTGGTAAGGCAAACTTTCCCGGCGTGCTTTTTTCATGGATAAACAAACACCACTGCTTTGCACATGGATGCCTTGCCCAAGCCAGGGCTACAAAAGAGCCGCATTGTTGCATTGTATAATACTTAAATAAGGTACCTCTGCAAATGAATTATTCTTAGTTATTTTTTTTTTCTTATTTTAATTTATTTCTTCCTAAAGTGTACTTTCTATCACATATAATTCCACTGTCTTAGTTAGGCCTAGTCTTATGCCTCATCGTCCCTCGCTACATAGTACATCAGGAGCTCCTCCCCATACAGTACAGACGTTTGCTAGGTAACAACGTGATTGCACCTTCCTTCCCAGCTATTCATGTAACATTGGCATAATTGTTAGCTAACCAGTTGTGTGTATTTCTTTGTGAAAATGAGTACCGCGGCGTACTCAT